GGGGATGGACTTCTCGGTTCCTCTTCCCAGATCGCAAGGGGATCGGGATTCCCCTCTTGGTCGTGCTCTCTTCGGTCGGAGCCTGAGGAGAAGTCGAAAGGCTTCTCCACTCGATCCCTCTCTCTCGATTTCTCATTCTCTCCCTCTCCCTCTCTCACACCGACTCCCTCTCTTTCTCACTCTCGTTAAGAAGAGGCCCGAAGCCTCCCGTTCCTTCTCCCTCTCTCACGTAAGCCGAGGAAGACCAGATCGCACGCCTGATCTCCCTCTCCGACCCGACGTCGCCTGGACGGATCCCGATCTACCTCTCCGGACCGAACTCGAGCTCGACGGCAGCCACCCGAACACCTGCTCTCGGCTTTGCACGCCTGAACCAGATCTGAAGCCGCTCGGATCGCTACCTGGACCGATCCCGACGCCGGAAGCTGCCCGAACTCCTCTTCCTTGCAAGTACATCGGAGTAATTCGCTAGCTTGAAGCTCTTAAGTGGCTGCGCCACATGCTTTGCGTGGTCAAGAATGACTTGCTTACTTGGAGCTTTTAAGTGGCAGCGCCACAGTCAGGTATAATCTCTGCAACTTGTAAAGCAAATTCTTTTAATTAGATATCGAAATTGCTACACATCACACACGACTTGTTAATAGGTATTCTAGCATGTTTAGATAGCTGGCCTTAGGGTAGTTCACTAACGAAGCTTTGGCCCTATAGGTCAAAGCTTGCCCCCTTCTGTGAGCCTTAGAGACCATTAGGGTCATTTAGGCCTGTAGAGTAGGCCACCCAATTGTGCCATTGGGCATCGTTGTTTTCCCACACGAAGTGGGCATCGCTAGGATTTTGGCCTTTTTCTGGTTTTGGGTATGATACCCTCCCCTTTTTTGTGAGCCTTAGAGACCATTAGGGTCATTTAGGCCTGTAGAGTAGGCCACCCATTGTGCCATTGACATCGCTGTTTTCTTATACGAAGTGGGCATTGCTAGGATGATTTTCTATGTGGGTTTCTTGCCTGAAGGGTACCCTTAGTGTGTTTATTTACTTTTTTCGTACTCTGAATGTCATGCATGCATTTGTTTTTACACACTTTGTTTCACAGTGCACTTTAGTTCCATTCATGCATTGCATCAGTAGACCTAAGGATATTTTTATAATGCATCTGTTTCATGCATCATATGTGGCGATAGGTCTATTCCTTTACATATTACATAGTCTCTAATTTAAATCCTTGATTCCTTAGGATAGAGCTTTCCAATCTTGCATACATATATGACGATTGGTTGTGCTTAGGATTTTAGCTGGCATCCTTTTTCAGGCAAGGAATAAGTCAAGATTGCATTAGTTAGGTCGTAGATGTCAGTATCGTATGTACGATACTACATCTTTTGTAGATTTAGGGTCTAAAGGTGAGTGGTACGGATGTACCACTATACACCTTATTGGTGGGTAAGCTCTCCATCCTTTCGGAAGCTATAAACCCTTCACATCTGCATCACACGGATGACGCCACCTCCTTCCTTCTCTCGTGCATGTTTGAGTGCAGTGTCTTTTCTCTTTTTCTCCAGTTTCCACTTCTTCGAGCCGGTCGAATGTTGACTGAACCACGTGTGATTGATTGAACCAATTTGGGACCTTCCTCTTTGATTAGGAAAGCCTAGAATTTTCTCTTTGCACTCGACCCATTAGAGAAGATAATCTAACGTCCTTAATCGAGAGTCTTCTTAGACCAAGGTCTAAGCTGTAATTAACTACGGGGGCTTGCGCCCGTAGAAAATCGATCCCCACAATCAAATAATTCTCATTCAAGCTGGTGTGTCGAATGGAAGAAATCTCGTGAAATTTTGGGTTATGTATATTATTATCCATCTAGGTTGGTAGGTGAAAGTCGCTGCCCTCCATGACTAATCGTATATATAACTCGATCTGCTCTTCCATCGGCCTGCTTGTGTCGGGTGTAAAGGTCTACGACCATTTTGTCCTACGGGATAGTGTGATCGTACCCTTCGCATTCGAAACCCACGAGCAGCATCCTTTCGGAGACCCACAATAACATCAGTGCTTCCCAACACAAGGGAACGAGGCCCTCCCTCACCTGGACCCCATGTATGGTCATAACCACTCCTCGACATATTCCTCTGCCAGTCTCTATCTTCCTAGTGCTTAGCATCATCCCATAACTCTTTGTGTCCACCAACTTCACCCTCAATTGGTCAACGACCTGGTTGAAGATGAAATTGTGGGTATCCCCACTTTCTATCAATACCACCACATCCCTATCTGTTATTTCTACTTTCACTTTTATGGTGTGATTCGGAGTAAATCTCATAACTGAATTTAATAAGAACCCTGCCATGCCAAAATGTTGCTCTTCTTCCTCATCCACCACTGCCTCACTCCCACCTCCATCCTTAGCTTCATCGTCATCACAGACAGTGAAAACCTGCAGAGTTCAGTCCTTACACTTGTGTCCTGATGTGTACCTCTCATCACATCTAAAACCTAATCCCTTTGCCCTCTTCTCCTTTAGCTCATTCTCAATGAGCTTTCTAAAATTTCTCTTGAATCCCTCTCCTACAGGCTTCTCTTTTGGGGCCTCACAAAGGCTTCTCGATACTGGCCCCTTGGGAGCTAAGAAAGTGGTGGTCATCTTGTACGAGCTTCTTGAATTGCTTCCTCTGGCCCCCCTCTCCAGGTACTTATGGTTCTCCACTAACTGCACTAGCTCCATATCCTACCCAAGTTACGAGGCATCATCACTCTAACCGCCACTTGGATCTCTGGTTTGAGACCCTTCATGAAGTTCCTCTCTAACACTGTCTTAGAAAGCCAGTCAGTCGGCTAGCAAGGTATTCGAACCTCTCCCGTTAATCTACCATCAAACCATCTTGTGTTAGGGCGAAAAATTGCTTGTAGAAGTCCCCTATCCTGTTGGTTTGGAAACGTTCAAAAAAGCAATCCTTGATCTCACTCCAGCTTTATATAGATCGTCACATGTCCCTCCACTTGTACCAGGCCAAGGTCTTCCCTTCCAAATATTGATCAGTTGTTGTCAGCCTCTCCTCCGTCAATATGTTGATGTCGAAATACCTCTCCACTTTATAGATCCACCCATGTGCATCATCTCCTTCAAAGATAGTCATCTTCAGCTTCCTCCCTCTCGGATTGTCTTCATTTCCCCTGAATCCTCCATAACCTTCCATTCCACGAAGCGGTTGTACTCCCCAAGTGTCTCGATCCTCCATTTTGCGCTCATACCCAAACCCCTCTTCAAAATCACCTCTCCTTTTGTCTCGATCCTCACCCCTACGCTCAAAATCAGCCCCATGTCTTGTAAAATCAACACCCATCCTTTCATACTTCTCATCTCCTCCCAAAAAATACTCTAGAGGAGGCATCCCATCTTCCCCCTACAAATTCCCCATCTCCTTAGTGGATTAGGGTTTCCACCACTTCTTTGGCCGTCGATGGCTGCCTTCGCCTCTGATGTCGTCATTTTTCGGTTGGGCCTCAAGTATCTTCCTCAACATTTCTTCCACGACGACAAACTTTCCATCCATCTTTTCATGGATGGTTGAAATTAATTTTTAAATTCAAAAATCTTCTCCACAAAATTTGATTTTAATTGTTCCGTCTCTCCCTCCAATACTACCACTTTTCTCCCGACCATAGGTACCACAGATTGATACTCTGATACCAATTTGATAGGAAATGCTCGTACAAATCAATTGTTCCCTTGGCTGATTTTGAATTTCAGCACCTTGCAAAAATAAAATTGAGAAGAACTTGGAAGAATAACCAGAAATAATTTTTTTTTAATTGATAATAGCAGAAGAACAACACATGATACAATTGATCTTCTATTGGAGAGGAAGATCCGGCTCTCTTAAATCTCTAGACGTCGTTAGAGCCTCAAACAAGAATTAAGAACCACAAAAAAAACATAGATGAAAAACAAACCCAGAAGTAATTCCCTCTTAAACAAACATTAATTCCACCTAATTACCAAACAACCCTCACTATTTGAAATTTCCCTCCTAAATCCTCCATTAACTCCCCCTTAATTGGGCTTGTGGACCCCAACTCTTAAAGGGCGGCTAGGCTGGGGCGGAACCCCCTATTCTACCTCCTATAGACCCAAGCCGGTTTTGGTTGGACCAGATGGACCAGTCTAATGTATTCGGAGCTTGTCCACAGGCAAAGTTGAATTCAACACCTAAACACATGTATTTGGTGATGAGTACATTGATCATTATTTTGAAAGATCTCTATGTCATCTATTGTAACAAGTCTATCTGGAAGTTGATGGGAACTGAGTAAAAAATAAGGATTTATTATGTTAATCTCAAATAATTGAGATAAGGTTAATGATGATGATGATTACGACATCATTGCTTTCATCTTTTTTGAAGGTGAGCATATTTCCGAGGGTTTAGGCTCTATTTAATGAACACTTTATAACTTATCTACCTTCCACTTGAGTTCACCATTCATTGTAAGTTCATCCTATTATGTGACAAATGAACCGAGATTAGATTTATAACATGTAGCATGCTCCTGAGAAGTAGAAGAAAGGTAATTGTCGTTTAACCTAAACCGTGGCATGCCTGTGAAACTGCTACGTTCCCCAGAACCGGGATAATTGTCTTCAGCAAAGCTTATCCATCTACCTTTTGGATTGAAATGCATGATACTGCATGATACTTTCCCTGGAAAGTATTTTATTTTTTTCCTTCTGCAAACCTTAACCTAGGCATGCCTTCCTGAACTCATATTCAATTGTTCCACATTATCAATTGGGAAAAAAAGATGCAGAGCAATTCTTATTATAGGCACTCAAAGATAGAAGAACAATGATGCCTCAATTAATTTACATTTATTGATATGATATATATATTCTTTGAATTTGAACTTCTCACAAGTTGTCCTATTCCATTTGAATGCATCGATTGTTCAGTTAAATTGATAGAAACGGACTAGTTTGTCTATAAATGAATATTTAAAATCTACAGGCTCTTGGGTGCCTGCTCTACAGAATGTGCTATTTCAAATCTGCATTTGATGGCGAATCGAAACTTCAGATCTTGAATGGGAACTTCCGCATCCCAGAGTTGCCAAAGTACAGTGCTTCTATAACAGGATTGATCAAAGACATGCTTCAAGGCTCTCCCAATGATCGACCAGACATCACTCAGGCAAGGCCTTAGCTTGATTGGCCATTCATCTCCATCAATCTAGGTTAGTTAGATATATGCATCTGCAATAGCATGATGGATGCGAAGCATCCATTTTCATTCACTAATGTCAAAAGTCCTTTAACAGGTGTGGTTTCGTGTTAATGAACTATTGCCTCTGGAGTTGCAGAAGCACTTACCTGACCGCGCTGAAATTGCATCACCTGTCAATATGAACCCAGATGTGCATAATGAAGGTTTGGTTCTAATATCTGTTTTCTGTTGCTTAAGAACTAGTGTTAAAACGCCAATACTTACTTTTTAATGAATTATTTCTTAAGTTCTAATTCCCTGAATATGTGAGCTAAAATCAAATTTATTCTCTTTAAATGGAGAAATTATTTGGTATAGAACCTTACTGATACAATGTGAATTTCCAGGCAGTCCGAACAGGACTCCTGTCAAACCAAGAAGGAGCCCCCCTCCTCCACCTTTCAAAGAAAAAGGAGGTAATATTAAGCCTCAATCTCCAACAGTGGGTGGGAGTGGGAATCACTTGGGTGCATTTTGGTCTACCCCGTTTGCACAGGAGTCACAAGTTGTAGAGGATAAAGGCCTATTATTTGATGAAGAATCTATGAATCAAACATTGAAGAACAGTCAGATCAACCAAGGAAGAAACAGCCTTTCTATCGAACAGCGAGCTCGGCCTTCGCAGACTGGGATCTACAAGGGGGTCGAAGACGGCCAAATTGAGGATTACAAAATTCAGTTATCTCAGGAAAACAGAGAAACCTTTCAAAACGAGTCATTCAATGCATTTGTTGCTGACTTTGATTCAAATAAGAACAATAAAATTAACAAATCAAGGGAGGAGTTGTTAGAGGTTGAGGTGGAGAAACTTAAGGAGCAACTTAAACAATCTAACTTGGAAAAAGCAGAAGTAACATCTAAATATGAAAAACTGTCTTCCATTTGCCGCTCTCAAAGGAAGGAGTTACAGGAGCTAAAGCTTGCTCTAGCGTCATTTACCCCACCGTCTAGTGGAAACAAGGAGTCTGACACCCAGGTATATATATTCTGTGTTTCCATTTTTTTTTAAGGCTTCGTTTGGGACGACTTTCTCGCTGCTTCTTGAAGTAGCTTTCTAGTACAAAAAATTTAATTTTTATATTAAAAGCTACTTTAAGAAGCATCAAGAAAGCCGTCCTAAACAAAGCCTTAGTTGATCATTTCGTTCATTATAACTACTTGATAATGACCAACACCCTTTCCAGTCAAGGGACAAGATTGAAGGAACTGTGTTGGATCTCCAACAGGGATTGCTTGCCAGCAACGCCTCCCCAGATCCAAATTCGAAACCATGGCAGGCTTTCACTGACGAGCCAAAGGCACAGCTAGTTTCCAAAACTAGGCATTCAAAATCTGTCAGGACAATCAATGGACATCCCAATAGCAGTAAACAACCAGACTCAAAACCAACCAGTGATGAATGGGGCTTTGGCCAGGATAGCTTCACTGCATCCCCTTCCTCAATCTCGTTGATATCCAGCTCTCCAGCTCTCAGGAGTTCTTCCCAGCGCTTTGCACCACCCAATGCCAAGAACGTAGAATCTAGCCAACCAGCTGGATGGGCTGGTTTCTAAGGCTCCGTTTGGGGGCAAATTATTATTTCCGGTCACCGGGCCTAATTTTGCGTCCGGATTCCTTGCGCTTTTGATATATTTTTGCAAAAAGGCAGTTAATACACAATTTTAATTGCATATTACCTGCTTTTTTGTTGAGTATTTGCAAAAATAAAGCAAAAGCGCAATAAATATCTCACTCATTGAGTATTTGGTGCCCTTTTGTTGTGCTTTTCAAATACTCAGTAAAAGGGCAACAAAAAGGCAGCTAATATGCAATTAAAATTATGTATTAGCTGTCCTTTTGCAAAAATAGATTAAAAGCGCAATAAAAGTACATGGATCCGGACTCAAATTTAGGTCCAGTGACCGGACCTAATAATTTGCCCCGTTTGGGACGGCTATTTTACCGCTTCTTAAAGATGCTTTCTAATTAAAAAAATAAAATTTTTGTTCTAAAAAACTGTTTTAAGAAACAGTAAGAAAGCCGTCTCAAACGAAGCCTAAATCATTGTTCTGCTTATTGATTCGATATTGCCTTTGCTCATACCTTAAGCCATCCTTTGGTGTTCTCATCAAAATAGCAGGAGAGGAAGAGGAAGTAAACGATTGTCCTTCCACAGTGTTACAGTTATGTCAGTTTTGGTTAAGAAAATGCCGCCCTTTGTGGCTTTGTCCTAAATCAGTTTGTACTTTGGACTCCACTAAGACTTGTTTATGCTATTGTTGAGCTGGACTTAAGTCTAAGGTAATTGAAGGAATCAATCACTGTGAAGTTATGACAATAATATGAATGAGGCCTATAATATGGAATTCCAGTTTAATTTTATGCAATAAGTCTACTTATTCTCAATATCAGGCTTCTTGCTATTACTGGGTATTGTGTTTACTATAAAAGTTGTGTTCTATTTAAAGGGAAAATTGTCTTTGTAACATTCAAAGTTTGGTTTTATTTATAATAATAGCTTTTTAAAAAATAGTAATAAATTGATGTATGTTTGTGTCGTGATTAAATTATTAGAATTTAATGAAAGTAATATATATATATATATATATATATTTTAAGTGTAAGTATTTAGGCTTTTTTATAAATATTTTAAGTTTATAATTTCACATAAATATATCTTTTTTTTCTTTTGTGGTGCTTCACTTCTTTTTTTTAACTTAATTGAGTAAATGTGTATAGAACCGCAGAAATAATTTCAAAATGTATTATGGAGATGTAAGTTTGGAGAGATGGCTTTGTTTGGATAGTGTTGTTATTGCTTTTTAAAATAATTTTTTTATTAGAAAATTGCTTTAAAAAATATTAAGAATATTGTACTAAATGAAGCCTTAAGTTCTTTGGTTGAACGAAAAGATGTAATAAATATTAAAATTATTTAAATATGTAATAAAATAATAATGATGTAATAATGTGAATATTTAATAAAATTGAATAGAATTTATATCTTAAATAATTTTAATATTTAAATTACTATACTATTCATTTATTTAACCAAAGGGGGTAATAGAGGATGTGTTTTGTTAAGGTAGACAAGTTTATCTTTCATCTAGATTTCATCATCTTAGATATGAAAGAAGAAAGGTAGATACCTATTATCTTAGTTAGACATTTCTTAGCTATCAGTAGAGATATGATAGATGTGTAAAAAGTTAACTTTGGGAGTGCAAGATTAAAAAGTGACATTTAATATCTCAATGTGAATGAAATTTTCTAGGGTCCAAAATGAGGATTATCATAAAGTAGACTTAGTTGATGATTGTGTGCAATATTATATAGAGGATTTGCTATTAGATAGTCTTTTGGTGATTCCATTGAGTGAGAATGATAAGGGAGAGGAAGGTGGAGATTCTATTCATTTGATTAGTGATACCCCTAAGATTTTGTGGGGTTAGATTTGGAGTGCTTGATACTTCATCCCTAGGTTGACCTATGAAACCTTCAATTGTAAAGGCACCTTTACTAGACCTTAAAGCTTTAGCTGCCAATTTGAAGTATGCCTTTTTAGGATAATAGTCAACCTTACCCATCATCATCTCTACTGAATTAAGAGAAGTTTAAGAGAGTAACTTGATTAGGGTTCTTAGTGAGTATAAGAAAGCTTTTGGTTGGACCCTAGTTGATATCAAGGGAATTGGTCCATCCTTATGTATGCACAATATTTTAATGGAGGAAAATTCTTACCCAAAAGTTGATCTCCAAGAAAATTGAATTATGTTATGAAAAAGGTAGTGAAAAAGAAAATACTTAAGTGGTTAAATGTAATAATTATTTATCCTACATACGATAGTGCATGGGTTAGCCTAATTCACTGTGTTCCCAAGAAAGGAGGATTAATTGTGATAGCCAATAAAAATGAACCAACACCAAGTAGAACAATCACTTGTTAAAAAATTGTATAGATTATAGGAACTGAATAAAGCAACTAGGAAAGACCATTTTCCCTTGCCTCTCTTTAACTATATGTTATATATGTGTTAAGTGTAAATTGTGTATTATTTATTGTGTTAAAATTTAGTTAAAACATGTTTTTTTAGTTATGTTTATGCATAAATTATTTAGGAGAAGGCAAAAATTTATAAGTGTTGAACAAACGTCGCAGCTCCAACATGTTTTGTGCTACAACATTATGATCTACAAAACCTCCACACCTGATTTAGACATTTCAACATCATCTGCTCTGTAATTTTAGGAATATTAGCATCATGTCAGAGCCATGGTTAGCACCATTGAGTTAGAAATCAGCAATGCAGCACTGGAGTCATGGGAAAATGAGTATCGAAGCACTGAACATTTCAATGTTGCGGTGCCGGATTGCACATTCAAGCATCATAGTGCTCAACTTTTGTAGTGTCACAGTGAAGTTGTTTCCAAAATTAGGAGACACACCAACTCAGCCAAAAGTTGTGCCTTTTTTACCATTAACCATGACAGGTTAGCCAATTGCCACTACAGAGCAAGCCCAACAATGTCAAGGTGATTGCTCATTTCATATTGCTGTGGCATCACCATGTCGAGCACCTTGGCGTCTGAGTCCATTCCTACACTTGTATAAATAGTTTTTTAGTTTTTTTTTTTTTGTTAAAGGAGTTTAGTCATTTTAAGCGGAGTCTTACTTTTGAGTGTCTCCATCTAGTTCCCCCTTAAAGTAAAGTCTATGGGAGATTATGGAAGTGCAAAATACTTTTATATGAAGATCTTAGCATGTATTGTGTAAGCAATTTTATTGTTGGAGGAAGAAGCATGCAGAATATCAATTGATCCTTTCGGATGACATTTATCTTTACTAATTCTCATGTATCATTTTCTTATATGAATAAAATGAACATTAATTTACTTTTTGTGTTATCTACTTATGGCTAAATCTCTAAGTTTTGGGCTAATGATGTAAACATATAACAAGTACTAATTTTGACTCTTATACCTTAAATTACTTCATAGTTATTTTCAATATCTTCCATTCTTAATTTAATATATACAATGATCATATATGTAGTTAATATCTAGTGTGATGTATTGCCTCGATGACAAAATATTGAAATAAATATGAGTATTGAAATAAAATTTTGGCATACATAGAAATAGAATGTTAAACCTTCTAGGTTCTTTGGAGAAGTATAATTGTAGAAAGGTCATAAACCTCCCTTTTTACCCCAATAAGCTCGATAGAGCTCTAGGGATGTATATATTTTGATTCACATCTTATATTAAGAGTCTTATTAGGAAACTATATTATCTTGCATTCATTAGTCCAAAATATTTTTTTATTAGTATCCAATTTTCTTGCGAATCTCCATTAAGTGAAAAAAAAAACTAAAAAACAATCATTTTACTTTTAGTAGGATAAATCATGTATATTTATTAAACAATAGTAGTTTAATTACATTTAAGCATAATGCTTTCTTGTGGAATTGACACTCCTCTCTATCACTTTATTACTTGTTCAACACATATACTTAAATATTTAGTGGGCTTTCATTATTTTGATATCAAAGGAAATTTAAACATATTTATATTACACTTGTGCTTTGTGTGTAGGTCACTCCATTGACCGTATAGTCAGTCCAGTAAAGACCCATTCAAGTTTTTGGCACCGTTGACAGGAAAGTAACGTGTACATTATAATTTTAAACTATATTATTGAAACAAGTGCATATTTAGACCTACTTGTACCATGTGCCATTTTTTATTGTTTTTGTTAAAATTTGTAAAAAAGATTAAAAAAAGTATTTTGTTGATTGTTTAGTTTGTGATATTTACTTTATTTTCTTGCATCATTATTGCATGCTTAATAGATTTCAAAAGTAATCCTTGTTATTTGATTCTGAGATAGAAATAACCCTTATAAAAATTTGAAAAAAAAAAGATTTTAGAGATGTCTGAACCAGTACAACAGTAGGACCATTTTAGATCTCTTAGAGAATATATTAACCATATAGTAGATGAAATCCATCAGAGTATAAATAGACCTCTTATCAAGGTTAATAACTTTGAACTAAAATTTATCATGGTTTAGATGGTTCAAAATTTTCAGTTTGGGGGTAATACTGTTGAGGTCCCAACCTACACTTAACTTTCATCTTAGAAATTTGTATAATATTTAGGTATAATGGTGTCACTGATAATGTTATTAGACTTAGATTACTCATATTTTCTCTAAGAGATAAAGCTAAGATGTGATTGAATTCCATGCCTTAAGGCTCGATAACCACTTGAAATTAGTTGACACATATTCCTAGCTAAGTATTTTTTACCTTAAAAAACTACCAAACTTAGAAATAATATCACATCTTTTGCCCAGTTTGTGAGAGATTCAATTAATGAAAGTTGGGATGGATTTAAGAAAATGCTTAGGAAATGGCATCATCATGTTTTACCTGGTTAGTTGGTTATTCAAAAATTTTATAATGGATTGGTAGAATTCCTTAGGTGGATCATAGATGCAGCAATTGGAGGATCTTTAAAGTCTAATACATTTGAGGAAGCTTATGAATTAATTGAGGAAATGGCTAATAATAACTTCCAATGGCTTTCTGATTGGGTGAATCCTAAGAGAATAGTTGATGTGTATGAATCAAATGCATTATCTATTTTGAATGTACATGTAGCTACATTTTCTAAAAATTTAGATACTATTGGAGTTAGTTAAGTGTCAAGATTATGATTATCTATGTAATTGGAAGAGCATGATTTAATTTTTATTAAGTATAGTAATGCATAAGGGATTAAGAATGTGAATTTGATTGAAGATAAAATAATCTCTATTTCAGTACATATAATCAAAGTTGGAGGAACCACCCTAATTTTAGTTGTCCAAATAATAATACTGGTGGTAACAATCAGTGGAATGCAAGTCAATCTAATGAAGGAGGAAATCATAATAATATTGAGCAATATGTAGTAAATCCTAGACCTTCGTATCCCCTAGGTTTTAACCTAAAAAATTAATTAAGAGAGTGGAAATCACTTTGGAAGTTGTTGTGATTCAGTTAGGAACTTAGTTGCAAAGTCAGACTTCTTCAATTAAAAACTTAGAAAATCAATTAGGATAACTTGCAATCTCTTTTAATAATAGACCACTTAGTACTTTGTCAAGTAATGCTGAAATTAATCCAAAGGTGAAAGAAAAAGAGCATAGTGGAGACCCCTTGAGAAGTGCTGGTGATTCATTACAATCAAAGTGACATATCTAGGAAAGTCTGGATGAAGACTATAAATTTAGCACTGTGTTGGGAGGAAACCCAATTTTATTTGATGTTTATATATTTTTCTTGTTTTATAATTTATGTTATTAGGTTATGTTTTGTAATTTTTATTATATGTGTATGTTGTATTATTTGTAGAAGCTA